CCCTTCCCCTTGGAGGCGGTGAAGCGTGCAGATGCCGCCGCGCCGCCTGAAGAACAGTCCGCGGAGGTGGCGGGCACGCCGGCCGAGGAACCGCGGAGAAAGGCCGTTATGCGCTCCTTCTGCCCAAAGTGCGGCGTCTCCAGTCGCAACCACTGCCGCCGCCACTGCGACTTGTTGTCGGAGGAGGAGAAGGCGGAGTACGAGGCGCGGCTTGTGCGTGTGCAGCGTTTCGTGGAGTGTCTCAAGAACGCGCCGCGTGCGCGTCTGCCCGAGCACTTCACCTGCACGGTCGGGAATGCAGAGTCCTGCCGACGCATGTTGCAGCGCGATATCGAACAAATTGTACGCGATTGCCTGAAACAGGCTGGACTCGAAAACTGCGTCAACCAAGTCGCGCGCCCACCGCCCGGTCGACGACGCAAACGGCGCATGTCTGAGAATGAAGACTCGGGTGTCGATGACTCCGACGAAGACCACTTCCCCAAAGACGTAAGCCCGGCACAAGCCTTCGCCGCCTTCTCACCCTTCGCGTACTCCAAGTACGTGGCTGCGCAACTCCTCGCCCACGGCCTTTTCGCGCGGCCCCCAACAGTCGCACAGGGATTGGCGCCTGTCGGAACCCCACACGGATTAGGGACACACGGATCATCGACACAAGGACCATCGACACAAGGACCATCGACACAAGGAGCACCCCTCCCGCACGGCCCGCAGCAAGTGGCGCGCGGCGTGGCCCCGCAGACACTCACCCCTGAGATGGCTCCAATTCAGAACCAGGCCTCGCCGCGGAAGCGAAGTCGTGGAGAGGACGGCAGCGATGTGGAGATCTTGGACAACGAGACCGCACGCCAGCGGAGACGGCCCGTGCCCAACTTCAAGGAAATTGTGGAGAACGGCGTCGCCGAGGAGCGGCCCTCCGACCAACCGAAGCCGAAGAAGCACAAGGCCGCCAAACGGCCCGCGGCAATGCAGCCGCCGGTGCCCTCGACCGTGGTCGCTTCGCAGCCCAGCAGCGGCGGAGGAGTCCCTAGTGGTGCGATGCCTGGTGGTGGGATGCCCAACGGAATTGCTGGCGGGGCACCGGCTCGAGGCCCGTCGCCATTGATTACGGCATACATGCACCCGCAGACGGCGACGCCGCTGGTACGACCGCCGCCGCGTGCGGCCATGCTGCCGCCCCAGCAGGCCATCGCGGCCGGCCCGCCGCCTGCGTTGTGGCCGCCGACTGGCTTCCATCCGAATATGTTCTCGGCCAACGTGCCAAGGTGGCCACCGCCCACGGCGTTCGCCTACGGCATGCCGCCGCAGAACCCCATGGTCTACGGCTGGGGCAACCCGCCCGCCGCGCGCCAGCCGCCACCCATGCGCCAAGTCGGCCTCAACCAAAACGGATTACAGCCCTCCAAGAACGACGCCAACCATCAGAATTTATAAACAATGAAAGTAGATAGCACCTGGGACGATCACGATTCGAGTTCGACGGGAACGGTGGAGTCCTGCTCTAGTATCCACACAAACGCCGACCTGGCGCTCGCGGCGACAATCGACGAACTAATATTACGAATGCTCGTTACCTCGGCCAAAAGGAAGATAAAAAGTGGGAGTACTTCGTGGCCAGCTGCTCCGCCGCTGTCAGGAACTTGTCTCCGTAGCGAGACTCGGCGATGAACCAGCCCGCAACGGATTGCAACGTCTTTCGTACGATTTCCTGCTTATATAACTCCACTAGCCAACGGCCGCCTTGGTTCAGCGCACGCGTGTGCGCGTCCCGCCCTTTTTGACTAAGTACAACCGATGCCAATGCTCCGTGCCTCCCTCTTAACTCCGAAAACACAGACACCTTGAACCCACTCACCACCAACGAGCCGCTGGTCGTCAAAGGTGCGTACAGCCCTCGCGAGTAGACGCGGCGCGTTCGCGTGACGCTCGTCCAGGCCGTCGCGTTCGCACTCCACAATTGGTCCACGCCCGACCGCACATGCCGCATCGCCTTCGCGGTCTCTTGCGCGCCAGCGACCGAGCTTGTGAAGACGGCGTGGCTGGACGAGGCGGTGAGTGTATCGCCTCGTTCGGTTTCGAGCTCAACCCAGTCCGACCCCCAGTAACTGTCGTTCTTGTGCAGCCAGCCAATCAATTTGGTTGGTTCTCCATCTCCATCATCTAGCACAGCTCCGACATCGAGCTCCTGAATGAGCGCGGTCGAGCCGTCGTAGAGTTGCACCACACTGTTTTGAGGGAAGCATTTGATGGAGTCTGCCGCCGGTTGCCCGCAGTTCGGCACAAAAGGGTAGTCGTCTTCATCCCGACCCTTTGCTCCGATGTACAGGGCCTGATCCAGACAGCTGGAAGGCAGTATGTGCTTGACCACCACTGCTGCTGTGCCCTTTACATCACCAGAACCCTCTCCGGAAAACGGATTCAAGGTGGAAATAGCTGCTTTCTTCATAGAGGCTACATTCAAACCCAACACGCACTCAATAAGCATCCATTTCACCTCCACCATAGTGCACCATTAGGCCCCGCTTTTCCGGGCAAAACTATCGTACGCCTGTCGCACCAACGGCAGCTCTCGCAATGTACTTGTCGGCAACCGCTGCCAAAAGTCCTCCAGCTCTCGCGACCAGTTTCCGTGGTCAACGGGGTCTTTCCACAAGTCAAAAAACTCCACCAACGAAACCGCCGGCACCTCCAAGGACATGCTCCACACGCGCATTATCCACGCCAGAACAATGCTGAATAGAGTAGTTCCCGTCCGAACCTCACCTTTCCGTCGGTATATTGATTTCCATAATTTCCCGCACACTTCGCCCACTGCCTTGTCCGTCAAACCACCAGTGCTCAAACTATGCTGGTCTTGCAATCGACCCCCAGCGGGAACCATGCGGCTCAGGTACATGATCATGGCTACCATGCGAACATCGCTTAGCTTGGGCCCGCTTGTTATTTTACGGGTCACCAAGTCCTTGATCTTACTGTTCCCCGTTTGCGGTGCCATTGTTCCCGCCAGCAGCAAGACCTCTGCAGCCGTAAGCGCCGTGGTCAAGTCGGTGCCCCCTTCATCCAGCAGCTGTTGGGCGCATGCTTGTATTTCTCGAGCGCTCACGTAGCCGCTAGCAATAGCCAGGTCGAGCAGCTCATTCTGCGCGGTGGACACATGAAGCCGGCTAAGAACGTCCCGGAACCTGAACTGATACAGGGCCTCATTCGATGCCCGGCACAAAGTGGCGACCGCTCGTAACCAGAGATTCAGCGGTTCTAGACCGCCTGTAACCAGCTTTATGACCCGGTCTTCGAGCCCACCAACGTTCAATCCCCCCTCAGGCCGGTCGCTGTTAGGGAACGCAAGGAAATCATCCAACCGGTCGAAGGTGCAGACACCGAGCTGAGTCAAATCCCACGGGCAAGGTCGATCGTCTTTATAGTAATCTTCCACCGGTTTGGAAATCCACTGGTGCGGCCACAACGGCAGAAAGCCTTCGTGCCATCGGACCCCGAACCTGGTAAACATCGCCTTCAATCCGACCCGATACACCCCATATAACAAAGCCGACAGCAACGAAGGGCTCAGGCCCGGCTGACCCGATCTGTCGTCCAGACCCGACCTGTCCTCATGAACCGACCCCTCTTCATGATCCGAACTAACTTCCAAACCCGAGCTAACCTGGAGCCGCCGAGTTAACTCCTGGATGACGTCATCTGTCTGTTGAGACGCTGACGAGAGGCAGCAAGCCAATAGGGGAATCATGTCGTGGGGATGCTGGCGTTCCTTGCACGCATCCATGAACTTGGCAAAAAGGACAGGGTGCAACGGTAGCTCGTCCGAACTCAAGAGCAACAACACGGTTTGGTACAAATCGTCCTCTGCGCCCTCGATGTCGGCCGCGGCCAGCGCAGTCAAGTGGTTGAGTGCCTCAACTTTAAACGACTTGGGGAGAATTTTCCACTGCAGATCTACAAGCACGTAAGTAAGGCCACGTTCAGCAGTCTTCATTCTTACAGTCGTTCAGCAGCAGCCGTCTGGCAAACGCCAAGGTCTCCTTCGCCAGCCCAGGTTGCAGGGGGTAATATGATCCCGCGCGCAAGGCAACGTTGATTATGAGCGACGTCGGCACAGGCCCGTACTTGGACGAGTCGCCAGATAGTCGAAGCAATGAACTCAGGTACTAAAAAGGTGAGGAATCGAAGTGGTCAGAATACGCGATTCGCAATGGGTATCTTACATGCAAGATCTCGGGCCCACCCATTCCTATACCGTTCTTCAAATGCTTGATACACTCGTCAGCCGACTCGCAGAACGGGCCCTTGACAACCATGACCTCGGAGCAATAATGCGGGGGAAGCAGACGCTTCAACTCTGGGACACCTCCGCGCTCCTCGACAACATGTTCCTCGACGCTTTGTTCATCAGTCGCCAAGGAAGCAGAAGACCCCAAGGAGGTCGGTAGAAACAATTTCACCGTAGATGGCGGACTACGCTCCGCTCTAGAGGGAGAATGCAGACCGACGTTGGGGAAGTTCAGCTCAACGGGCTGCTTTGCAGTTGGCTGGGTCCCAGTCGTGGCCAGTTCGTAGGACGCTGGATCCTTGCGTAGGTGGCTCGGAGACTTCACTGACTTACCTCTGTGTCCCCTTATCATTTCCTCAGTGACAGATAGTCGGTCAGGGCTCCTCGTCTCCTTGTTGCCGGTCTGGGGGGTAGGCGACTTTGCCGGGGGGATCTTGCTGGGGGTTTTGTCAGCAGACGCGTCCTTCGGCTGGGGAGGCGGCCGTTCCGCCGTACATAGAGAAAGGGTACTCGGGGATGGCCAAATTAAGGATGTCGGGGGGCTCACCGACGCGACAGGGACCTCCACCTCGTTAGACTCCAAAGAACGCCGCTGTTCTCTTGGCTCCGTTTGGGTGTGCTCTTCCGTTGTCGTTGCTCCTATAATCTCACATTGGACACTCGCTACCTGACGAGATATCTCTGGACCGAGACATGTTGCCAGATCCTGAGGCTTTGCTGCCTCACGGGTCGGTGTAGACAGGAATTCTTCACGTACCAGGTAGTTCGCAGGCCTTGACAATGCCCGTCGTTCCTGTCGTCGAGCACTCGCCGGTTCCCCATACACGTTAGTCTCCTCCTCGCGATTTAGTAGCGCCGCTCCTTCCGAAAATCGCTTCTGATGGGCGTCAATGTCGTCAAAACTCTCTCGTTCCGGCTCATAGGGCACCGATTTCCGTTTACCTCTAATCTCCGAGTTCATCGTCTCATTCTTCTTTGTCGAGCCTCGCCGGGCACGTTCCGCGCTGCGATCCTCCACGTTGCGAACGTCCACGCCCTGATTCTGGACGCCGCGGCTCTCCACGCCGCGACGCACGGGGTTCCGGTCAACCTCTTCTCTGATGTCCTCGTCTTGGATGCCTACGGCTCGGATGCCAGCACTAAGATTATGAATTCGGTTCTGAAGTTCTGAAACCCTTTTCAAGCGCGCCTTAATGTCGCCCGTTTCTGCCGGGGTCAATTGCCATTTGCTGTCGGAGGCTCTCCTCGGTAGTTCGCCATCTAGGTCAGTAACCCAGGTCGCATAATTGACGGTGTCCGCTGGACAGCACTCCGCTACCGGTGTCTCAACTAGGGGAACCCTGGAGAGACTCTGTAAAAGCATTCTCTTGCGCTCAAGCCGACCATTCAGCGATTTCAGCCCATCCATACATGTCTGTTTTTGCTTTTGTTGAGTAGCACACGTGTGTGCTTGAAAATTATGCAGTACCATCAGTGAAGTCATGGGAGAAGAATCACATGAGACGTCCGTAGCATTGACCATATTGGCTCACATATGCGGCTGGATCTATTTTACGGCTTGGACCATATCATTTTACCCCCAATTGATATCAAATTACCATGCTAAGTCAACGGAAGGATTATCGATCACCTTTGCGGTATTCAATCTAATAGGGTTTATTGCGCTAGCCCAATATGATATTATACGCTATGGGGTGCAATTACGATACGATTTACCTCAGGCGGTAGAGATACAGGATGTATGTTTCGCGGTTCACGCTGCCGTGTTGTGTATCATTTGCTGTTTGCAGTTTATTCACTATGACTCAGGCTGGCGAGAGCGGGTGACGCGGAGAACCTGGATCATGTCAGTCGTTTTGATAGTTGCGGGGATGGCGCATCTGCTGTTGGTTGAAATGGGGGTGATCCCCTTGACGCACTATCCTGACATGGACAATTCCTCTTATTTAACATCAGCCTGGTCGTTTACCAATTTCTGTGGTGCGCTCAAGTTAGGAATTACGCTGTTCAAGTATTTGCCCCAGATTGTATTGAACTTTGAAAGGCAAATGACCAACGGATTAGCTATTTGGACATTTAATCTGGATTGTGTCGGTGGAATATTTTCTTTGATCCAGGTAGGTTCGAGCGGGTCAGAGCGGGGCAAGTAACTAACACATGATGTCTTTAGAATGGAGTAGAATCGATTAACCACCGGAACAGCGCCTACATCACCGGTAACCTACCAAAGGTGGGTATCGGTTTAGTGGGGCTGACATACAACGCGATTATTCTCGGTCAGCACTATTACTTGTACCGAGAGCAGAACTTCGAAGCTAAGAGAATAGGTGGGGAGGACACCATGTCTGGGAAACTCACCACAGGGGATGACGGGGTTGACTGCCTGCTATAGTGGTGTTTCAGCGATCGAGGCGGCGCATTTGCCGTCTCCCGAGACTACGAGCAGTGAATCCTTTTTCTGCGGCGAAGCCGACAATTTATTGGCTACGGATTTTGACCCTATTTTATTGTCGTGATAATGTTGACCAATTGGAGAGGGTCTCACCGCGGTTTTTCGGTAGCGGCGGATCCGAAGGTTGTGTGTCGGGGACAGGAGGCGAGAACGCAGATTCTCGAAGGGTGTGACGTCTTGGCGGATGCCGTAGGTGCTACTTTGGGTCCTCGGGGTCGGAATGTGATTATCCAGCAGGCGTACGGAGGTCCGAAGATCACGAAGGACGGCGTTACAGTGGCGCGGAGCATTGAATTGGCTGATCCGCTGCACGAGTTAGGTGCCAGTTTGTTGAAGCAGGTTGCGCAATCCGCCAACAACGCCAGCGGCGACGGTACGACGACGGCGACGGTGCTTGCTCGGGAGATTTACAAGCGTGGCTGCGAGGCTGTGGCGGCGGGTCTGAAGCCGATGGAGGTGCTTAAGGGTATGAAGCTGGCCACAGATGAGGTGCTTGATTATTTGCAGGAGAATTCCCGGGCGGTATCGTCCAGCGAGGAGTTGTTCCACGTGGCGAAGGTGAGCGCCAACGGGGACGAGGCGATCGGTCGTTTGATCGCGGACTCGGTGTCCAAGGTGGGTCGGGAGGGTGTGGTTACAGTGTCTGAAGGCAAGACTGTGGACCACGCGGTACAGTTCACAGAGGGCTATGAACTGGACCGGGGGTACGTGTCTCCCTACTTCGTAACCGATGGCAAGACCGGCCGTTGCGTGATGGAGGACAAGCCCATGGTGCTGTTGTCAGAGGACAAGATTACTAGTCTCAAATACATCATGCCCGCCTTGGAGCACTGTGCGCAGAACAACCGGGAGCTGCTGCTGGTGGCTGACGACTACGACACGGAAGTGTTGACGGCGCTGATACTGAACCGGCTACGCGGAGGTTTGAAGGTGTGTGCGGTCAAGGCTCCTTCTTTTGGCGAGTACCGCAAGCGCATTCTAGAGGACCTGGCGGTGATGACTTCGGCGACTGTTTTGAGCAAGGAGCGCAGCAAGGAGATTGCTACGGTTGCGGAGTTGGGTTGCATCGAGAAGGCGGTGGTGGACAAGGACAAATGTTTGGTGATGCGTGGATCGGAGGTTAATGGGCATTTGGAGGAGCATGTGCAGAAGATCCGGAACCAGTTGAAGGAGTCTGATGTAACGGAGTATGAGGCAAGTAAGTTGAAGGAGCGTTTGGCCAAGTTGACGAGCGGCGTGGCGGTGATCCAGGTGGGCGGGAACAGCGAGGTTGAGTTGGCGGAGTTGAAGGACCGTGTGGAGGACGCGTTGAATGCGACTCGGGCGGCGATGGCTGAGGGAGTATTGCCGGGTGGTGGTAGTGCATTGTTATTTGCGGCGCGAAGTATCGCAGGGTTGGCCGGGGCGAATCGGGAGCAGGACGCGGGTATCGACATCGTGCGTAAGGCGTGTGAGGTGCCGTTGAGGAAGATCGCCCAGAACGCGGGTTTCGAGGGGGCAGTTGTGGCAGGAGACTTATTGCGCGAATCCAAGTTAGGCGAAGGGTTCGACGCCATGACGGGGCAATATGTGGATATGTACAAGGCGGGCATTTTGGATCCGACGATGGTGGTCGTGACGGCGCTAAAGGACGCGTCGAGCGTGGCACGTTTGATGTGCACGACGGAAGCCGCCGTTTATAACCGACCGGCCGAACGTGCGCAGCCGAACGTGGGCTTACCCGGCGGCAACGACTTTTGACCTCTGAGGGTGGCCCGAGCCACCCTCGGTGAGTAACCTCGGGTGTGGGGGACTTCTGTTTATTTGTGTCGATTTGCCATGAGGATGAACACGCGCGCTTGGACGGACGTTTTTCGTAACCAAACCAACTGACTGGTAATCACCCCAAAGACTGCGAGGACGGCCGCGACGGCCGTGGCGATGGGGAAGCTGCAGGAGCAAGGTGGGCGGTGTGTGGAAAGGGAAGAAGTGTGGGTTGCAGGAGTGATGAGGGAGGGGGTGGGGGAAGGTTACCATTTGCTGTAGACGGTTGTGTGGCATTTCGTGATGGAGGCCATGATCTCTGTGTTGGCTACAAGGCAGAGGGCTGCGAGAAAGATGAGGATGCAATGGACGGCGTTGTACCAGAGCGTTTGCTCGTCGGACCACCACTTGCGCGAGGCGAGGTAGAGGTAATAGCCGAAGAGGCCGGCGCAGTAAACAGTGAGGCCGATGCCGGCCGAAGTTTCGAGGGCCATGGTGACTTGGTCTTCGCAGTCGGCGTCCACGTCCATGACGTTGGGGATGATGAGGGCACAGGCAGACACGATGGCCAGTAACAAGTAGACGCAGGCGGTCACAGTGAAGTGCGTGATGCACTCATTAAGAAAAAGCGGGGCGGGACCGCCACCCGGAAGTCCGGCTGCTCTGAACATTTCACGGATTTGGCACGGACATTTTACACACAGCACTCCTGGGACGCTCTATGTGGGGACGGGCGACACTCTAAGCGGGAGGCGTTTCGTCCTGCCCGGCCACGGACTGCTGCGCGTCAGCCACAGAGTCCTCTGCATCTGCGTGCTCCACTCCGTGGTCCGCAGCGGATCCGGCGGGACCTTCCTTGGGCGAAGAAAGGACGATGGAGCTGTGGAGACCGCCCGCGGGCTTTCCCGCGGGAGGGTCAGAATCTTCCTCGGGTGAAGCCTCCTCGGGTGAAGCCTCCTCGGATGAAGTCTCCTCGGATGAAGCCTTCTCGGACGAAGCCTTCTCGGATGAAGGTTCACTTGAGGAAGGTTTGCCTGGGGAGGGTTCGTCCGAGGAAGTGCCCGATAGCTGTGAGGATGGCGGCATGTCGCTGAGATGATCTACGTGTGGTGCATGGGCCGGAAGTTGTTGGTTGAGCCCGGCTGGTCCACCAGAGGCGGGTGGCTTCTCAGGGGCGAGGGCGGGCGGCTTCTGAGAGTTGTCTGAATCATTATCGGAGATGGTCGGTTCATCAGAAACAAGTGGTTCGTCATCAGAGGCAGGTGGCTCATCAGAGCTGGGGCGGAGAGGTTGGTCGCTTTGAGTGAATCCAGCGTAGAAAAATTGTGGTGGATTCTCAGTACTGGTCGCAGTAGGTGGTGGTTGGTTCTCAGAAGATATTTCATCAGCCTGTCGCCCCGGTTGGCTCTTGGGTTCCGGTTGTCTGTCTCTTGTGTCTGGTTGTGCCGTTCTCGTGAAGACCAAGTATTCTGCAGGGTCGGTTTCTTTCAAAATAGGTTCAAGGTATTTTCGGACGTCGCTGACGGGTTTAGGAGTGGGTTGTTCATCTGCGATTGTTCCGATGGTGGGTGTTCTGGCGGCTTCAAGATTGTTGAGTAGGAAGCCGTAGGCGACCCAATCGCTGGCGACAGCTTGATGAGGACTGGCGGTCCAATGAGTCATAATTCTGGCGGCTTCATGTTGTTTTTGGCGTGCAACATGTAGCAGGTCTGCCACTTCAATGCAGAATGTGTGGGTCGCCGTTTTATAATGTTTGTCTTTGATTTTGCGTGAGAGATATTGGGCGTTTTTTTGGTCATGGATGTTGGGGAGCAGGTCGTGTTTGGCAAGTCTCTTGAGCGAGTCCAAATCCGGTGTTCTTAACAAGGACATGCACTTGCTGGGGATCATCTGATGAGTGTAATTCACCAGATCTTTTTTTTGGCTCTGTAGGAATGTACGAATACTTTGATGAATGTTAACACCAAGCTGGTTCTCCATGGCTTGTAATTCCTGCCAACGTTCAGATAGAAAAGGCCTTGCTTGGATAGCAGGAGGAATACCCAATGTATCATTAGCACTACCTAACCAATCATCACAGAAATCAACCAACGTCGATGCCTCCGGACCCATTCCAAGTCCGAGAACCACCAGACATGCCGGCTCCAATTTCGCATTTTTTTTATGAGAGGCAAACACATCGCGGATGTCATCAGCCACACTCCTTGCCAATAACGGACCCGTTATGCTGGGACTGTGATGCCGAGGTAATACCCAGCTGCTTTGCCCAACCGCTAAAAATATTAATAATGCAGCAAACATGCACCACTAAAAAATCGTTTTTCGATGGAACTTGATCTGGTACAGTAGAGCACATAACAAAACCAGCATCACCATAACTGCACTAGTCGCCTGGACACGGGAGAACGTCTCCGGCAACGCATCATATGTCTAAAGATAGACAAATTTGTAACAACTTGTTAACTAAGAATGGCAAAGGG